CACAGGGTTGTAGCTTAATATGCTAATGAGTTTCTTCTCTTGGGTGTGGCCTATTATGCTAATGAGTTCCTGCTGGGCTTTTTCTACAAAAAAAAAGCTCTGGGAATATTCATCTCCTTTCCAATACCGTGTTTTAATCTGCGGTGTCGGATTCTTTGAAACTCTACTGATGCTGCTCTCGAGGTTTTATTTTGTATGGATGGCTGTTCACTTGGGGTCCCCAACAGGGCGCCCGTGGGCACCAGAGCACCTGCCAACACCTTTCCTGGAGCTCACCGTGTAGGCATGGCTTTTGCCCAGCCGGGATTTTAATTGGCCACTGAAGATTTGATGATTAGCTGTGCAGATCTTTTTTTAAAAAAATGTTGTTTGACAGCAGCTGCTACCACAGCAGAAGGGTCTTCACTGCATGACTGAAGGTAAGCTCTGGCAGCCATTTTGTGGTCGACAGTACCTCTTGTGGTCAGTGTTCCCTCTAAGCTGAGTTAGTGTGAGCTAGTTCAGTTTTTTAGCCTCCAGGTCACACATTTTTGTCTCAGCTCAGGAAGGATGGACTCCAGAGCAAACTAATTTATGCAGCAGCCAAATCGCTCACTCACAACTTTAATGCTAGCAGCTCAGAAAGCAGAATTTTTGCTCACAAGACTCCACAGCTTAGAGGGAACATTGCTTGTGGTAGCCATTTTGTGGCTGCGCCCACCACACTATGTCAGAATTCCAAAGGTGCCCACAGGCTGAAAATGTTTGGGGACCTCAACCTACGGTCTTTTCTGTTACGTGTGCTTTAAATGTATTATGTGTGCTATGCTGATGCTGTATGTCTGCAAAATGTCTTTGCATTTGTGTATGTGGAATATGGGAAATGCTGTGTCTTGGATTTGCTTGCTTTGCATCTCATGCTTACACCTGGAAGCTGCTAGGAGCAGGGCTTGTGTTGCCTATGCTAATGGACATGTGCATACCCACACCTTCCCAGCATGCCTTGGAACAAAGAAGACCTTCGCCATTAAGCTCAGCCTTTGGAGACTTGGAAAGCAACAGGTCTCCCACCATTACAGATCTCCTGGAATAACACGTAACCCCACATATCTGGTTTGGCATCACAAAAGGACAACATCCTGTTATCGCCTTCCTGGACCAGGCAACATCTGGAAGTCAAAGGTTGCTATGGGAATACAACTTTGACACCTTGCCACATGGCTCCCCATTGAAGCTAGGCTTAGAATTTGAATATCGCCCCACTCCCCTCTAGGTAGAGCGTCACAACCCTCCAACCTATAGGTATAGAGGACGGATTGTAGGTGTAGTTTGGCCAACCCCTAAAACTAGGTTTTAAAAGAAGAAACACAGCCTTTGTTTCTTGGAGTTAGCTAACCATCCCCCTAACTACTTTTCACCTTTTCACCTAAGTCTACTGCAGGTGATTCTTAAGCGTTCTCTGGAATCGCGACCAGAGAGCCCACACGTGTTTGGCTGGACCATTCAGTGTGTTTGTAGAATCCCTAAAGTTAGCACTTTTGTTCAGTTCTTGCTGCTGTGAAGAATTACTTCTCTACTGGAACTCAGATAAGTATTAACGCTACCCTTCTGTGTCTTACCCCATTGTTTGTTGGAGTTATTATTTTTATTACTTATTGTTTTCTGTATCTACTGTGAACTAAAGGAACTGTGTGTATGAGTGAACGCATCTGTTTTTCGTGTGCTTGAGAAATATCTAGTAAAGACAACATTTATTAATTAAACCTTAGTGTGTTGTCTCACTTCCTGGGAATTAGGAGCGTTCGTTCCGATTCTGCCCTCTGTATAAACGGGTAAATTACTCACGCATGCCCACTGCCATACATAAGACAGAGTTGGGCCACGGAACAATCTCATTAGGAGGAGTTCCGGTATCATTTCACACAATTTGGCCAGGAACTGTGTTTGGCTCTTGAACTGTGGTGCTTTTTTCCACCGAGCTTCCTCACTTTCTGTTCGTCATGCGGTTTCTTTGCTTTTTCTCTGAGCTTTCTCAAACCACCTTTGATTTGGTTTGAGAAAATACAGACATTATGAGGTAACCACACAAAGAGAACAAATAGAAAAGGAGGATATGGAGAAGCGCAAAGATTTTTTTTTAAAAACCCTGCAGTTTGGACTCCAAACCCTTCCAGGGGAAAAGAAGAAGAAGAGGTTGGATTTATACCCCGCCCTTCACTCGGAGTCTCAGAATGGCTTGCAATATCCTTTCCCTTCCCCTCCCCACAACAGACACCCTGTGAGGTAGGCGGGGCTGAGAGAGCTCTGAGAGAACTGCCCTTGAGAGAACAGCTCTGAGGGAACTATGGCTTGCCCAAGGTCATCCAGCAGCTGCAAGTGGAGGACTGGGGAATCAAACCCGCTTCTCCCAGACTAGAGTCCGCTCACTTAACCACTACACCAAACTGGCTCTCACACCAGACTGGTACCAAAGACAGACCTTGGAGGTAGCATAAAAACAATTCTAATTAAATAACACATCTGTTACAACCAGGGGTAATTGGGAGCGCACAGGAGAGGAGCTCTGGCAGTAAGGAGCCCAGGGGGCGGGCACATGCAACAAGCCCCGCCCCCTGCTCCCAGCAGCCCTCGGTTGGGCCCCGAGGAGCAAGAAGCAGCCAGGCAAGTTGCAGAGCCCCCCCCCCCCGCCTTCAGGGACCAGCTCTCCCCCATAAAAA